ATCGGAACTTTTTATTTGGCTATATTTGATGTTGTTTGAACTAACCTCTTGCTGATGTCTGCGTTTTTAACTGTTGTTTGACGATGCTTGCAATGGCGTCTCTGTTCGCGTTTTTGATCGCGACTTAATGTTTTGACTTTTATGAAATGTTTCATACTCTCAGGCGTCGAGAGTCCCGCTGTTGGGAGTCAAAATGTTAATGATGATGTCTTGAAATGAAATATAAAACTGCCTTTTGCTTAATATATTGATCTTTATTGCTAGATGTTCTTACATTGAAACGCACTTCACGACTGAGCTCAATCTGAACTCGGAACAGAAAGACACTCGCCACAGATGGCGCTGTCGGATCAGTTTTACAGTATTACCAACAGAAATATCAAAAAATCTCTATGATTACTAACACAAGCATTTGGACGTACGTGGGATTACTGAAAGCAGTGACCCTAATCTTCCTTACACTCTCTGTTGTATACCGAGAATTGTGTTCTATTATTCACTGCAATGAATTATTAATACAGAATGTCCAGGGAGAAAACGTCGAAACTTTACAAACAAGCTCTTTAGATAACGTTAAGCATATTTTGCCTAATGAACTACTTATATATTCTAAATGAATGAGCCGCTGGAAGCACTTAATAGTTGGTTTGAAAAAAATATTTCTAGGCAAAAATTTGCATTGCAGAAGCATATAAACACTTCAGAAACATATAAATTGTTTATTTACAAAAGTAATCAATATATGTGTTCAGATAGAAAATTAACACAGAAATACAAAAGCACCCAATTCACACATTTCGACTGTTTATTATTGTCTTAGGATCTTATTTGCGAAGTTTCGACCCCGGAAATCATGTATATTTCACAGCAATATATTATAAATGTATTGATGTAATTATTTCGTTCTGAAATTTTAAGAGGTTACCAGTAGAATTATTATAGTATGTTGTTATCAATAATTCTATAAAGTATATGCTATTGGAACATCATCAGTTTTTAAGTGTACACACATACAGTTCCCGGTATTTTATAATTTAATAGAAATGAGAATGAGCAAACTAACAAAGCATAATTTTCTTAATTTCTAAACAAAAATAGGCCAGACGTTTGCTCTCCGTATTATCATATTCACTAAGAGGCGACTTGTGGTGATTGCTTTTGAAGTCAGTTTTACTGCATTTTGAATTGTCTTATTCGCACATTGATCATTAACTCCCAGTGCGTACTCTAGCCTTCCGTTTCATAAACTTCATTCATATTACGAATCCAAAACGAAAATTTGTTAGAAATATGCGATTGTCTATTGCGTGTTAATCTTCAAAATTAACCTGGACGTTGACCGCAAAGCGAGGTAACGGCTTAAAAGAGGGTACAATTTTACATCATCAAACGGTAAAATCAATTGGCTTCTCCAAAAGTCCATGAATGCAGGAGGTCGCTTCAGCAGATTTCACTAGTGCCGCGCTCCCTCTCTAGGAGGCCTTGGCTTTAGTGTCCTGCGCCGCCTTCCGGCCGTATGTGCGCTGATAGAAGTGCGAGAAGAGGAGGACGAGAAAAATGCACTGTGGCACCAACAACTGCGGCCCCAACATCGGGAAGTTGCAGGGGTTGGACACGAACAGCTGCGCCAGATGCAGCCCTACCATCGTGTGCTGAACCTGCGGGAAAGAGCATTTTTTCAAAACAAAAGAAGTTTCTGCGTGTACAAAGGTTGGTGCAAAGTCGTGGCAACTATTTTTTTCAAAGAAATGTTATTGGATCATATAATGTTATTTGTCGCATGAAAGAAATGCACTACTAATTGGTGTTCACAGCAGGTTCTCGATTACTGGCCTTGCCACATCGCCATGCACACTAGCAGGTCGCCCCATACGTAGCTGACAAAAGGTTCCTTCGCATCTTCATTGCATCTCTCCTGGCTATCTCGCGACTATTGGGAATGGAACAGAGTGGGAAGAAACAACAAAAACTATTTTATTTATATATTACAGGTAATTTTACCAATATTAAATCTGGTTTGTAAGTTTTTTTAATTAATGGTTATTCAAATTGTATGTTTTTTCTTTTCCAAAATCTTGAGAGTTAAACAAAAATGAGAAATTATTATGAGGGGACCTTCTATTCTTTGGGAGAAATTGGAAAATAAATTGCAGACGGTTTTTAAGATTCTTTAATACAGTGCATTAATTTTAAGCACAAATTACGCTAAAATCACTCGCTTATTAAAAAAATTGTAGATTTCCTTTTTTTTAAGTTGATCCTACAGAAAGTTTTAAGGAAAAAAATTCTATGGTCAATTTACTAGTATTCTAGAAAAAACAAAATTAGGGAGGGTTAGGTCACCACCAGTAGTGCTGAAATGCTGTGGGTTTATCTTACACTGGTTTTCCCAATTGAAGTGGATTCGTAAGGCATGATTTATTGCATTTTCGACAGCTTTACATTGCATTCATGACAATTTACTGGGACTCAAATTGAGGTACAAAGAGTTATATAATAATTTTTAAAATGTTCTTTCTCCTGGTTTTGATTCAATAAATGTATCAATGGTTAAAATGTGTGTAGAGTATATTACACCGGCTTTATCTAACTTAATTACAATAATTTAAGTTTAGCTTCGAAACTTTTCCTAAAAAATTAAATTAAGTATCGTGGTTTCTATTTTAAGAAAGATAACTCAGTTAAGTTGGATAATCTACGACCGATTATTTTACAATGAACTTTCTCAAAAGTAATGGAAACTTTTTCAAAAATCGAAACGTTTATGAACTTTAAGACTCATATGATACCCTAATAAAATACATTTTAAGTATAAATGAATATAGTTTTATAAAAAGTAAACCGACAGAAAAATGTTGCCAATATTTCCGTTGCCATTTACTCTAGTCTGAATACGATTAACCAAACGACTGGTCTATTCATCGATTTTAAAATAGCTTTTGATTTTGTAAATCACGAAAATTTGATTAAAAGGCAAGAAAATACAGGAAAACTAATACTATCACCATTGAAATGGTTTGGAGGATTTTTCTTTCTCGCTACCTCGTACGCCGTAGAGAGAAAGTTATGTAATCCACAAATTGAAACTTACATATTTTTAAAGTAGTGTTTTCGATACTTTTGCATGCAACTTTCAACAAGCAATATGAACTCTCTCACTGCTCACACTGTAAACATTGTCAACATGAAAGAATCCATTCCCGGAGATGCCAGGCTAAGCTATAATATTTTAAATGACACACTGAAGTTGTCATAGATAGAATAAAAGCTACTTACCAGTTGAAGCTGTGTCACGTACTTCTTCCACCAGATATTATGAGGGTATACTGCCGCAATGAGGTAATAAGTGTACATGCAAACATGCACGAACGTGTTGAGCAAACCCAAAAATGTCCCGTGGCCTCCTATAGAAAACCATTCATTTTGAGTAAAAGACAGCAGTTTGAAGCTAATTGTTATATTTAAGAAATTTAGTTCATGAACCGACCTTTTTCAGTCTGGTATGTTATTGTTTCACGTGAAAATTTTAAAGAAAAAATTAAGTAACGATATCTCAGTATATCAATTTTTTATTATTATGAATTGAATTTTTTACAATAATGCTTTCACAACTTCACTTAGCCATCGCATATCTATTACATTCAGATACACCGGTTTACGTGGCTCAGGACATCAATTGATGGCTCTGCATTCCTAGAGTTTGTCCTCACAGAGGCTGGATTATACACACTAGCTAGAAATTTATAATATTATATGAATTTATAATGAAGCTACATTTATGTCCAGAAGAAAAACAAGGGGCCATCTCAGAATTTCCTCAATGAAATCAGGAAAACTGCAGAAAGAGCTGATCGAGAAGGGGGTCATTGATTGATCGATGTAATGTACTTCAGCTGCCGGGCCAATCAAACAAACCAATGAATCAATCAATTCCAATATGCGGAGAGCAACAATGCGCAGGCCACAATAAACTAATGCATTTGAAGGAAAATTTCATGAATTTACAGATCTAATGTTGCGTGTATTACACAATACATTACATTAATTTTTTGCCAGTTTATGTTAACATTTTCAGTTCTTGAGTAGTGGCAAAGTCACATATTTTGAACTTTTTCTATACTATACCTTTTTTTAAGAACTAATTCAACATTCACTACTCTGCTAATGCAAAAGTGTTATCAACAGAAATAAGTAGTTCTATAACAGGACGTATTTATGACCAGGCCTGGGACTAGGAGAACTCCTGAGTTGTACGAAGCGAGTATGCATTGCAATGATTTCGAATTATTTTTTCCGATAAGCCTTAAAAGTCAAAATAATATCTTAGAGTTAGGAAAACTTCTAATAATAAGTCTTAAATGACAAAACCGCATCTACTTACCTAAACAAAGATAGACAAAAGAACTATGCTGGGGTACATTTTTGATCTCTGCGCTCTTGGACAGCAGAAGGGAAAACATAATAGAAAGGAAAGACCGTGTTCAATAATCGATTTGCTCATATAGAGGGTGTAAGGACGAACACAAATACAAACATGCCCGGGGTGGGACTCAAATCCGCGATCCTTTGCTTCGAGATCGCTACGGGACTATTGCCTTTACGATCTCAGCCATCACGACGACTCATATAATATTGCTTAGCTTAGTAAATATAATACTTTCATATACGTAGTTTGTTTCTACCAGAGAACAGTTTTTTCAAAATGTTAGAATTACATATTTTAAGGAAATTTTCGTTATTTGTTTGAAATATTATCTAATACTTTATTTTTTAGTACACAGATAAAGTTGTTTCGTTTTAAATGTTGATAATTTATTACATTTTATTTTCCATTACTTTTCAAACGGCGAGAGTTGATGAAGTTTCATAGATAGTAATATTTTTTTCTGTACTTGAAAATATATTGTTTCAATTGTGTAAAAACATAAACATTACTCGTCAGAAAGGTTAAAAATCTCTAAAACATTACCTGGAAAATATTTCAGGCCGGCCCACACAAGAATCACCATATTACTGTGGTGATACAAGTGCAGGAAAGAGATTTGTTGGTTTTTCTTGCGTAGAACGAAAAATATGGTGTCGAATAAATCGGCTATCTTCAACCAGAAGTAAATATATATCAGCCGGATCATCTGAAGAGATTTAAATTTTTATAAACATCCAATGTAAATATTTAAAAGTTCTGAATCATTGTTTGTTGTTTTTATGTGCAATATTAACTTAACTCACAGAAATGGCTGGGAGTCGTACACTTACCTATATCTTAATATTTTGATCGGAAATATTTCACCTCACAGATTATATTAAGGTAAAAAAAACTTTCTCTTTAAATCTGTAGTTGTAGGAATACGCAAAAAATGTACTATTGTCATTTTCGCAAAACACAGTATTTCAACTAAAATGAGACCTGTACCATAATTTTAAGCGTCCTTGGCCAAAGTTTAATCAAAAAATTTGGAGCCATTTTTTAAAATATTTAGAAAATGTTTTAAGGCCTCAAAGAAAGACCCCCAAAAATGAAATTATTCGTTTTAAACTCAGCGGGTATCGAGTTCATTTAAATCGTTCGGAGGAAATACATTTTCCGGAAACGTGGCTGAACGGTTTAAGCTCTAGCGTTGACCACTGGTAGACTTTTCCGTCAATCAATTTTTCGGTAAGAAGGGCCACAAACTAAAGATTGTGATTACCCAACGGGTTAGAGGAAGTACTTTACTATACATAAGTTCAAAATTTATCCGTTTTTGCCAGGGCCAGCAAAAGAGGGATTTTTCGTCAAAAAATCACCGTTTTTCGGCGCACGATTACAATATTTTCTCTTCTTACGAAGTAAGGAGCCGGTAAAATTTAATGTTGGTTGACCCCAAGTATTGATGTTTTGATCACGAACTCGGATTATTGAATGAGAAAACACTGCAGCTCTGCCTTCCTTAATAAGCCAAAGTTTTAACAAAAGATTCAGCATATAGATAAGCGTGAAATATAGCACATCGTTGCACACCCAACAACAAACATTTTTAGTGATAGGAGAACGAGTTACACGAAACGTATTCTATGACATGATTACAAGTAGAAATGTCATAAGGCTAGTCTTAAAGTATAATTTATCTATATATTTTTAATGAATATATATCACATGTGTGTCTCGCCTTCGTGTTCCAATCAACATTTGTTGCCTTTACACTTTCTTATTCTTACGAAGATATAGACAATTATTTATTGGTATCAAGTTCCATTACTATTTTAACCGACTCGTTCCGAGTCTTCATTCGGGTCTTAATAATTTTGAATCTGGCGCTGCTACACCACGCAGTGCTTAGAGGTCACGGATCATAACTTAGAAATGATGCATTCACGGATCTTTACGCATCGCAGTCTTGTAAGTAGTGATGGAAGGGAGAAGCATTGGCGATGTAACAGGTTGCGAAGAATACGTAGCAGTAATGTCTTGCGTTTGCCTCACATTTCGGTAATGTTTTGATTATATTTATATACTCTTTAGTATGCACATTGTAGTCTTTCTGTATACATTGTTGAATCAGTGAGTACAATAGCTTCATATGATTTCTTATGAAGTTCCTGAATAGCTCAAGAGTTTTCTGTGAAATTAAACTCAAAATTGCACAGAAATGCTCGAACGAATTTTTTTAAATGACTCCAAATTTTCAATGAAAATTATCATGTAGTACTATTTTTACCCTTCTGTCAAATTATTAGTCATATTTCATTTATACCATTAAGGGACTAAAATTGAAAAAATGTAGTTGAAAAAATATAGTATTCCTTAATTAATTAAAAAACGATGTTTATAAACTGATAAACTTTACTACAATTTAAATGCATGATTTCTATAAATCAGTGGAACCTGTTTTAATGGCATAAATATCACACAATCAATAAACTTGTTTAATACAAAAATGTATTATTTGAGGTGCCGATAGGTAGCAGCTCGTAAGAGGGTGAAGCAAAACTGAAAAGCTGGACTGGACTATATACAAAAGGAAACCAACTAGTACGAGAAAGTATTTACCTTTAATTTAAGCAATATCTTTAATTTTTCACGTATGTAGATAGAAAAAAATAGTATGAAGTGACCCACAATAATATAGAAAACATAAAGAAGAATATTACATTGTCCTACAGTTTGCATAAGATGAGGTGATTAATAGAATCTATATTATTTTACCTCTAGAGCACTGGGTGAATTCGAAGTGTCAATTGGTTCGCACCGCCAACTGTAGGTCGAAAACCAAAATTGAGATCCAACCTGAAAATTTCATCCAAGAAAAATGATTAGTAAAACTAAAAATGTTATTAATACTTCAATACTCCTTTTGTAAAACTCTTCTTCTTTCCTCTCTCATAATGAACTTTAAAATTATATGCACATTATTAGTCATTTACATTCTTAGCCCTCTTAAATGAGTCTTTAAGTACAAAGCCTTTAAGAGTCTTTAAGTAGACCTTTTGTCACGCAGATCCACTTCGAATGATGGAGTATATCATGTTTTACAAGAAATGTCTAAAAATATTTTTGTGGCTTACACTAAGTTCGGGAAATGTGTAGGTACGTCACACTTTCGAAACGCTAATAAATAAAAAATAAAAATAGTGACTAATGCCCTTAGAAAATCATTCAAATACATGTGCCAAGAAATGTTTCTTGCGCACTGATACATCCGCCAGCGGAAATGCTCTTTTTAATGTTTTTATGATTTTCAACAACCAATCAATTCTTAAGAAGTCATTTGGTTCACAATATAGTGTACTATAGTAACAGATCAAGAACGGCTGTCTATAATCTCACTGCGCAGCGCACGCGCACCGACTCGGTTCCGGAATTCGTTTCAGTCGTGGCTGCCCTTCGCGCGTGAGGCAGCACTGTTGCGGAGCGATGATGTTTCGCCCCGCACTGGGGTGGATTTCAGTGCAACGGATGCAAAACGCTATTACATGCTCTCTCCTACCACACACGCCGGTCGGGAGCTTAGAGCCTGTCCTGGCTGACTTATTTTTTTGCGAGTGTGTGGTAGCTGTAATGTAGGTAAGGTCATCATGTCGACGGGATCATCGGGGTGCATATGTGATGGTGGACACGTTGATACACAACACAGATCTGCAGCCAAAAAGCTGTTTTTCTAATTTTATCTTCACCTTATGTTTTTGGGTGCGCATAATTGGAAAAGGACCACCGTTTCTTTCTGGGACTTCAGTGTTTTTTTCATATTAGAAATGTAACTTAGTCAAACAGGAAAATGCATCTCTAAATTTCAAATTCATCACACTTGGTAAAAAGACTGAACATGGAAAAACAATTTTGTTTCACTGCTTGTGCTTTCAAAAACATGAAAATAGAGATGTATTAATCCTGATGGGGATCACCGCATGGTTGAGAGTGCTTGCTAGGGCCCTCCCGCGCAAGGCCATGCACGCATTAACATGTTCTCTGCTTCCTCCTCAATCTTTTATTTCATTTCAGTCTTCATCCAGCTATTGTTTGTGTGCTTCAAAATTATTGCAATACCTCCATGAAAGTGTATAAATTCCCCTTACAGTTTCTATTTCAAATGCTGAGAATTCATGGTGAAAATGCAAAAGTTGAATGTTACAGATTTTGTTAAGATGTATTTCGTGTATTTGAAATATGAACTTCGTGACAAAGATAAAGTTTAGGCTTCTCAAAATGCGTAATCGTTGTATCAAACACCCTGGTCTATGCTTATGGGACTGTAGATAACAAGAAAATCACACAAAAAAGGAGGCTACTCTACCAAGAAGTCCAATTGTTCATGCTAAGAACGTCCTCATTGGTACCTCCTGAGAAGGGATTATTACCACCTCCAAATATAAAATTAAGAATAATGAAGCAATTTTTAAGGTATTTCCCGGTAAGATAGCAAATGCTTCTAGTACTTGGAATTCAAATTTTCAGGTTAATAGAAGGTAAAACTGAAAGAGGTGTTTTTGTTGTGCCGGATTCTAGGAAACGCATATCTAACACAGACTTCAACAGTTTGATGACTCCAATTCAAAAGAAGCATAGATTGCCTTTACTGTGATCATAAAACATGTTTTGGAAAACCAAAGAACTCAAATCACGAGGAAATGATAGAAACAATGTTGAAAGCATTCCAAAAGCATGGTTGCCCCATGAGCAAAAATTGCATTGTCTCAACTGATACTGACTATTTTCCTGAAAATTTGTGAGACGTGAGTGCAAAACAAGGCAAATAAAATATTTCTATCAATACACAAAAATGGAAAGAAGCTATCAACGGAAGTGTTACGATGTTACCAGTATTACGATAATGATAATGGTTAAGCTGCTCAATGTTGTACATGAAACTTCCGAAAGCCGCTTGCAAAAGGAAAAGCTGAAAAAGAAATTTGGAGTTTCAAAAACCACGATTTCATAAGCAATTCGATAGAGTGTAGTGTTCATTTTGTCGTCATCTACGCAAATGGGATAATATTTCTATGTAAATAAAATATTTCCGTTACGACATGTTTTAAACGATTATCTGTTTGTTCAAAAACCTGACGTTCCAGGTCAAAACAGATTTCATTCCTGGATTCAAAGTACTAGAAAATGTAAGAATAGTTTACAAAACAGAAATCTCTGACCAAACAAATGTTTGCAGCTCTGTGCAATTGATTTTGCCGCAGTGACGCTCAATGCTGATATTATAATTCTAAAAAAACTTCGTGTGAATTAGAGTTCACTGATTCTTACATCTGTGCAGTGGAGCGTACTTTCAGAATAGAATTTCGTCAAGGGAGCACATTCCCTTCCAAATTCTGCTGCCAATAATTGGGTAGAAAACTGTATTTCAAAGATTATTAGTCATAATAGCCCTGAAATTGATCATTTACTAGTTGAAGCAAGTGGACAGACGATACAAGAATTCAAGTTAGTGTAATGATTTTATGTGCTTATGTCGTACTTTATTGGTTGTTGTAAGTGAAAATACAGGACAAATAAGCACGGCATGCGAACTAATTCCCAGTTAAGAGCAATTATACTGTAGAAAACTGTGAAAACTATATTATTAATTTCAAGAAGTAGTTTTTGGTGTCTGTATATGTGTGTGTGTCTTCAGTGTCTTACATACGTGTTTTAGATTGCAAGGACCCGTAGTAAAAGATGGAAATTGCTTAATTTTAATAAAAAATATAGAGTGAGATTTATTACTAATGTCATGTTTTATAAGCCTTTAGACAGGTCGTTCTTTTACCCTTAATACCTCTGTCGGTGTTAATATGAGCAGGCACGAGAATGACCTTATGACATTCATAATTTGTACGAGTAAATATTGGGTTTAAAAATAAAAAAATATTGCTGAACATTACACATACATACATACCTACATTAGTTTTTACCACGTATTTAGGTTTAATAATATTAATAATGTTTAATAAAAGTACTCGAATTAAGTTAATGATATGAGTCATTTAAATATCGAATTACATGAATTCATGATTTTTTCAACGAGGCTGCTTCTGGGGTCCGTTTTCTAATCATCAGTTATTTAGATATCAAATTACATAAATTCATGTTATTTTCAAGGAAGCCTCCTCTTGGGCCCGTTTTCTTCCAGGCGATCGGTTACGTTCTTAGGAAAGACGCGACCTCTCCCGGATTAAGGCTCTTAATTTACAAGTAGTACATAAAACAAGTAATAAACAAACTAGTAGATAATAACAATAATTATATTGGAAGTGAACGGAGATGTATGTATGGCATAATGAGAGGCAAGGGACGTATTATTATTCGAATAATATTTCTGTTTACTTGACAGCTAGCAGCCGTCAAGGAAGCGGGAATTCCGTTCCAGTCAGAGGCTACAAATTGTGATGTTGCCACTACAGAGTCGCTGAGTCCTGTGTTGCATGTTTTCATTGCGAGTGATTTCCTGCTACTGATGCAGAACGCCCACACGATTACGTGACTGCCGCCCGAGTAATTGGAAACATCGCGCTTCCTCACCCCAGTAGTCAGGGATTTTAGTCGGATAATAGATTTCAAGTCTATTTCTGAATGAATCTTGAAACTGCTAAAGAATGTAAGGGGATCGAGGATGATTACCGTTTACCGATTAATTTGTTATCCAACATTTCGTATAACAAATTTAGAAACGTGACATTCACCACTGATTGTTAGATGCACCAGACTTCTTATGCACCAGTATTCGGCAGGTACACTTATTATTTTAACAGCGTTAAAACGTGAACCGCCAAATCCCAAAGCATGAAACAATCCAATCTCCAAGACTTGCCGTCTAATCAAGGACAAACGCCAAATGTAGCTTATTGTTATGAAATGTTTCGTCACAAACCTGGTCACATTTGATACTTCTACATGCCTATAAGCACGTTGCAATTATTCGTAGACACGTCTGTAGTAACAGAACTATATATTATTCCTCCTGACATTGTGTTGGACGCCGCATCTAGAGACAATTAAAGGCGACGCACCATGTAGAAGACGTAGGCGTTGGCGATGATCTGCAGGGCGTTGTACACGATGAGTGTCCTTTTGAGTTTAAAAGGCTTCCGGTCGCGCATCATCCAGGGGCCCAGACGCGTCACAAACAGTGCGTAGGCTGCCACCAGCCCCAGCACCGTGAACGGCCGCCTCATCAGCGGCAGAGACTGCACTCGGGGATCTGTAACATTGTAACATGTGTAGAGGCACGAACTTCAATTCCATTCAACGATTCCTTATGATGCGTAGCAACACTCAGACCCTCTGACCATGCAAATGTCTTTACGCTCCTTTCGCCACCTAGCAGAGAAAGAATCACTCTGGCGACGAATCAGGTGATTTTAATGTACCTCACAAGATTTTTTTAGGATTAAGAAGCTCTACATGAAGTAAATTACATGTAAATGCCGGCTTTACTTCCCTTCCGTAGGAAAGTGTACGAAGGAGTTTTTCGCCCTTCGATTGGGTTTGCATCGCAAACGTGGATGTAATAGCCCGATATGCTAACATGTATACCACCGAAGTTGTTTCCTCCTAACAATAAAAGTTGTTATCAAAGTTCTTATAAAAGCTAACCAGCAACTTTTTTTCTGTATCGAGACTCGAACTCCCAAACGTTATTTTTGAAAATTCAGGACGATCAACAAAAAAGAGATCTCCAACATTCTTTTAAGCGTCCTACTTTTTATTTGCATAACAAATTTACAGAATGAATTTGGGGCGGATTAGGGAAAAAATGTTAAAAAATAAAAACTTGCATATATTCCGTGCAAAATTACACATAACTTTCACTCAAAAATACATATTTAAAAAAATTAAACATAATTTTATTTAAAGATCTGTTTTTGACCAACACATTTTATTGAGAAAAATATAATCTTCAAAATTGCAGTTACGGGAAGACGCGGGAAAAAATTGGATGTTTGCAATTTTCGAAACATCTGAGATTTTACGGAAACTGAGACCTGCGTCATTCTCTCAAACGTCCTTTATCCCATCAGAGGTCAACATTTAACCAATTTGGTACAGTTTATTAGGAAAAGCGTTTAAAAAATTAAAAATTGCCTATATTTCGCCCAAAATTACGTTAAAACAACTCAATTTTTTCAAAATTATTCAGGAACGGTTTTCAAAACTTGTTCCTTAAGAACAGATTGTATTACAGAAAAATATCGATCTACAATGTTTTAGTTGTTGAAAGGCCCCGAAGTAATTGAACGTCTCCAATTTTCGAAAAATCAAGAAATTGAATGAAAATGAGACATGCACAAAACGTACTTCCCACTATCTACCAACAAAATTTAATCAACAAATTTTGAGTAATTGTTTTGATAACTTTGAGAATGTTCTGGGGAGAGTCATGTATAGTAACACCCCAAAATAAAAATATCGTTTCAAATTCAAGATGTCGCAACATCAGATGGATTCGCCGTTTTTCCCACAGCATTACTGCACTATAAGCGATTTTTATAAGATTGGACGGTTTTGACAGCAAGTGTTGGCAACACAACTGAAGGTTCTGTGATCGTGGTTATTAAGCCTATTATACTCTCCTCCCTGCATTAGTTCGTTTGCAGTTGGCTAACTTGTAAATGTCTTCCTACGACGAAAATATAGTGCGAAATTTTTAAAGATATTATAATTGTCTAAGTGGTTAATGTCACCTTCTCATCAGTCAGTATTTATCAACGATCCTAAAACGCGAACTCTAATTCGATTAAAATCACTTTATTTATATTTATATTTATATTGCCTCGTTGTGGGGTCAAAGATCAAATTCAAACTGTTTTATAAATACGTTAGAAGATAAAAATGAAAAAGAATAAGTTTTACAATGTGGCAACTGATTGTAAGTATGGGCATAATACATAAAATCCCACAAAAGCAAGATCAAATGTATTTTATTTTTGGGGGGTTAGAATTTTTATTATTTTTAATTATAAAGTGACTGAATTTTGGAGGCGAGACCCCCAATTTGTAAAGAAATATAAACATTTTAAGTGAGAAACTGAGTGAGGAAGACAGGGTATTTCGAGGTGGGAGTAAGGCAGATAAAGTTTGGGTAAGACGGGCGGGGAAGATAGAATCAATACAAGTAGGTTCCCGGGCTGAGCAGGTTTACACGGAATACCCTTTCCTGACTAATAAATTATTGTAATAAATATCCCGGAAACGAGGGGTACTTATGCTACTTATTTATGCTAGTTATTTGAATAATAACAATTTGCATATTGAATTAATATCTTAGCGTCATTAAGTGCCGACTGCTAATCTGTTTATTATTTAAATTATTTTTCTTTTCTGATTACTTTTCACTATACTTTATACTCCTTTACTTTGACCATTCTTAGCGAATGATGACTATCGGACTTTATAACAACTATTTCTAGCAGCCTTTCCCTCTTAATTTTAACTAATTTTATATAACATTCATGGCCTTGAACATTACTTTCTGCAACGTTTTTCTTGTGCTTATATACTACACTTTCCTGTTGAAGAAATGCTGTTCATTAGCAGGTGAGAAGATCTCTACATCAATAAAGAAACGTCCTTCCAGCATTCTTGAAGTTACACACTCAGTTTGAATTTTCATGTTTTTCTACCGTTTGCGTCTTATAAGACTTGCTAATATTTCTTTCTGAACGATCGCGATTAATCTTTCGCCTATTAAATTTACCTTAACATTTTCTCGTAACGCGTACTGCTCGTGGACCAAACATATCAAAACAAATTCTAACGAAAACTTCTCATAACAGAGTTATGCCATTACGGTGACACGTCTCCCCTCTACGAAATCCAGATCAAATCTGATAAACAAATTCTCATCTATCAACATAACAGGTTTTTGATGTTCACCTGTTCTAATTGTTATTACTTGACTTCGATGCGCTCTTATCCACTGCGTAACAAGGGAATCCGTGTTCTCTTGTCTTCGCTAACTACGTCTTATGTAAATAATTTCTAAAATAAAATTTATTTTTCTATAATGCAAAATATCAAAACATTCAATTGAATTATATTCATATATTCTGTACGTTCGAGTCTCCAATGTCTCGCATTTATTATCTCATTGTTTGACCCATCCTACCCATGATATTTTGTGTCGACATATTTTTATATTTAAATACAAAATTCATCTTGGGTATTTTGCGCTCCCTCAATGTTGCATAGACAGTAGTGAGTAAGTAAAACTATAGAGCCGTTATTGAGAAAATGTTGTTTTTAATACTTTCTGAAATTGCTCATATTTCACTCAAATTTACGAAAAACCAAAAAAATCTAGAAATAGTGGTGCTGCCAAAGAACGTACTTTCTCGCATGTTTCTAAATGCTACGCAATATTATACTATTACATAACAGGGAAAGTGTTTTGAACCAGCAAATTGCTTCCGCACCGAGACACTCAACTCAGATCCTCAGAACTAACTTATCGGTACTCATAACTGTACGCCACACACGCGCCGTATGGGTCGAATTCGGGCAGAGGCATAAAAAGGTAACTGCCCGATTCATGTAAAATACCTCAATAATAAAAATATCAGTTAGAATCTCCTAAAGCCTCAAGTCCGTTCAGATTGAGCAGGGAATATCAGTTTTGGATAAAGTCGGTTGAGCGGTGAAAGTTGTCCTGGTGGCTGAGCGGCTGGTTGTCCACAGACGGACTGAAAACTGTAGGTAGATTGATTGTGATTCCCGGCCCTTCAACTGCTAAGACCCCCGTAAGTTTAGTGCCTGTTTTACCACCCACCAGAGGGTCGCACTAGCAGGGACAAACTCTAAGCTCCCGACCGGTCTCGCAACATGAGTGATACTGTGGTGCATGTACGTGTGTGTGTGAGAGTAAAGGGTAAGATAGAAATGGGAAGGAATGGGTAGAAAAGAACGCGCGCGGTCCGTGGCCCGTTCGTTAGGGTACTGCCCCGGCATTCGCCTGGAGTTGATGACCGACCAAAGCCGCTATGATTCTCTTCCACACCTCACAGAGACATGACTCGACCTAACTAGGAAGAGGGAGAGGGAATTTATTTTAATTTACTGTATTTGTGAGTTGATCTCTAAACAAGTACGAAATAGCTTCAACATTGTAATTATAGAAAGACGACGAATAAAATTTCAAACATTCGCAATATTTGAAATTCAGAGTTAACAGTCAAAATCGGGCTTATGCCATCTTTATAAGTGTATTTCCCTCTATTCTAAAAAGAAGTTTACTGACAAAATTTGGAATCATTTCAGAGAAAATTTCGAAAATGCCTATGGTGCTCCATTAAAGTACCCCTAAATTTAAAAAAAAATAATAATCCTCACTCTCAGGGAGATTCACGTCGAGTCAGATCAAATGTGGAATATTAATTTTGGAAAAAAGATAGTCACAGTTCACGCACTAGTACTATTCACATTCAACAGACAGACGGAAGGAAGGATGGACCGTTTGAAAGAAACCACTTTTTGGCATTAAGGACCCACAATTTTTTAAATCTTTCTACATAACCTGCTAGAGGACCCAATTTACGCTGTATTGCAATAAGATTTATCCACGTTTTATTTACCAGGGCCCCACAATACGAATTTGTCTGTTGAAAATCGTTTTTATCCTCGCTGCATTACAAAACTATACTACGTATATTAGTCAGTATAATCGTGCGTATACGAGAGAATAAAACTTGGAGAAGTGTATGTTTACGTTGTTACAATAAGCAATCTTGAGAAGTTGAAATAGACTGTTTCCCCGTCAATCGATGTTTAAAATGTATTACGTCTCGGACAAAAAGGTTTTCAAAATTCCTTCTCGAAACGAGTGGAATTAAGTTTTTTCAAGAAAATGGGTATCGTCTAAACTTGTCATTGGTGTTATATATCGAACGTAAAAATGACAAATAGAGCGACGCGCTGTGCTGGTCGTGACAGAGCATGCAAATATATCACCTGATAATAAAGAAACTGACGGAATAATTTCGTATTGTTTCTTGTGCTGCCTTCACCTGTCACATAATAATCAATTATATTACGCTGCATACTGCATTATACTGCAATTTCACATGTCAAAGTCGCGCTATGGCATAATTCACAATAGTCATTATTCACAACAATTGACAGCTTAACAGGCCAAGCCATCGTCCTTACACATTTCCTGTTATTCAGAATAGGAATTCAC